TTTCCTCAAAATGTTTTTCCAAACAGTTTTCTCTAGTGGAAGAAAAAAAATCAATAAAAGCATATCAAGCGTAAAAAATATAATATAGATAGTGATAATTATATTTAAGTTTAAGTGCCAAAAATAACATTAAATAATCTCAAATAAATAAAATAAAATAAAATAAAGTTATATGTGATTACTAAAAGCATCCAAAGTTTAAATGCGATCACTAATAGCATTAGAAAGGAAAATATTTAACTTATGCTGTTTAACAATAAAAAATAGAAAAAATAAATAAATAGAGTAAACAGAAAGTGTAAAGTAAAAGTAAATGAAAGAAAGGATGCATTTGCAGCCGTTAACTATTGACCATACTGCAAAACAAATAAAGTAAAAAAATGAAGAAAGAGGAAAAAAGAAGAGACGCAGGAAATGGGAAAACAGAGAAAACGGAGAAGGAAAAATAAAAAGGAAAAGGCACACGTCAACTGTAGTCCTGGCGGCTGCGAGATGGCAGCCAGCGGTCAGAGGGGGATGGAAATGGGATTGTCGGCCGTCGGTTTCTCTAATTTTTAGATCTGAGTAGCTTAGGAAGTTCTTTTGCAGAAACCCTAGTTTGGGAAGGTGCCCGATTTTTCCTTCTTCCTTTTTTCTTAATGTGCAGTGACGGATGGGGTGAGGCACCTCTGAGTCGCCTTCGACAAGAGATACGTGACGCGAGGCAGCAGCCACCAGTTAAAACTATGCTATACCTAATCCCTATTTTCTTGTGTCCTGGAGCAGGAAGTGGTGTTTGAGGTGGGAGTCATATTTCCTTTCTAAAAGACCTAAAACGCTGCTCTTCAAAACGTGTCTAAAAGTTAATACCCATCTGTGAACCAAGGCACAGTTCGAGCCAATGCACGAGGCTTAACTTCAGAAACATGTTCTCTCCAGGCCCACCAAAGTGGCTTTAAATATAATATAGATCCTGATAGTGATTTTACTTTCTTAGTTTATGTACCCCATTCCCCCAGTATTTGTAATCAAAATACTGAAGCCTCAAAGCGAGTGTAAAGTAAGCCAAACATTTCTTCTACAATCAGCCTTTGGGTTTAACACACCTCCAAAAGGTAGAACATTCTGCAACTATCAAAGGTCCACATAGTTTTTGTATCACAAGCACAAAAATAAAATGAAGCTCCAATTCTATCAT